CATTAACATACAACTTACCTAAGGTTCAATTTTAACTCATTTTTCAGTTTATTCTTATTCTCATTTATAATTTTACAATATATTTATATTAGAAAAAAGAAGAGAGCGAGAGAAGATAAATAAAAGTAAATAGTTGATACATGCATGATATAAAGTATTTCCGCATTGTCATCTATTATAAATTATCAGGTTGAAATTATTAGGATGCAATTTTAGATAGGAAAGAAAACATGTTAAATTTTGTGAAGTTTTATAATAACTATCAAACTTATAGCCACTATAATTTTGTTTGTTCAACGTAAACTCAACAGATAATGTAAGTAGGAGTTTATTGAAGAAAAATAGATAAGCTTCATTTTAGTTTTTTTTATTACCTGATTCATTTACTTTTTGTGGCAGAGTTTACCCAAGTTGAAAAGGCTCAACCTGAGTTTTTCTCAGAAACTTACTAGAATACCAGACCTTTCTTTGTCACCAAATATTGAAGAAATAATTCTCAATGATTGTCCAGAGTTGATTAAAGTTCACTCTTCCATATTACTCACCAAGCTCATTTTTTTACGTTTAGATAACTGTGATAATCTCAAAAGTGTAACTGTTCCCAGCAATATTCTGTCCAGATCACCAGGATGCATTCTTCTTTACTCCTGTTGCAAGCTTGAAATGTTTTCAACCACTCAAACCCAAATATGTTATTCTCCACCATCATCATCATTAATCGGTCGTCAAAATTTCTCTGGGGTGCCCTTAAATACTGGTAGCTTGAAAAGGCTCATTCCCATAAGACCCTATTCCAGTGAAATTTTCTCCATTACTTTTGACCGATATTGGGGAACAGACGACGAAAAAGAAGTGACTAATAATAATGTATACGCAGATGATGAAGTGCTGCTACAACTCACTAGATATATGTCCTTAAACACTCCAAGTCCCAAAAACCTCTGTTTCATAAATCTCTCGAAATGTTCTTCCCTTACAATATTTCTATTTGACCTTTCTGAGATGAAATTCCTAAAGAAACTTTGTCTTAGTGGTTGCTCAAAATTGGAAAACTTCCCCGAGATTGAGGACACGATGGAAAATTTAGCGGTTCTAATCTTAGACCACACAGCCATACAGGCACTACCTTCATCCTTGTGGCGTTTGGTAGGGCTTCAACAACTGAGTTTGCGCAGTTGCATGANAATAGAAAGAGATCCAATAGACACTGTCAGAGAAAAATATATGTCTGAGGTTGTAAATATGTCTGAGTACAGACTCAAACGAATGAGGATTCTCATCATTCTTGATGATGTTACCGATTCAGTTCAAGTTAAAGAATTGCTAGGAAGGCATGATAGTTTTGGACAAGGTAGTAGAATCATTATAACCAGTAGAGACAAACAAGTGTTAAGGAATGCTGGAGCTGATGACATCTACGATGTTGAGGAGTTGAATAAAGATGATTCTCTAAAACTTTTTAGTTTACATGCTTTTCAACAAAACTCTTCACAAGAAATAACGTACAAGGACTTGACAAAAAAAGTGTTGAGATATGCAAAAGGAATTCCATTAGTTCTCCAAATTTTGGGCTCATTACTTTTTGGCAGAACAAGAGAAGCATGGGAAAGTCTGTTACAAAAGTTGAAAAAATTCCAGCATAGTAAAATTTTTAGTGTATTAAAATTAAGTTATGATGGGCTTGATGACGAGGAGAAGAATATATTTCTTGACATCGCTTGCTTTTATAGGGGATGCAAGGAAAGTGAGGTAGTAAAAAGATTAGATGACTGTGGTTTTTCTTCTAAGATTGGAATGGATGTTCTCAAAGACAGATGTCTAATATCTATCGTTGATGGTAGAACTAAAATGCACGATCTAATGCGAGAAATGGGTGAAGAAGTTGATGGTAGAATTGAAATGCACGATCTAATACAAGAAATGGGTCAAGAAATTGTTCGTCAAGAGTGTCCTCAATATCCTGAAAAACGCACTCGATTGTTCAATGCTGACGAAATTGATGAGGTTTTAAAAAAGAACAAGGTATGTTATATTGTCACTCAATTGAAAGAGTCACATGGATTTACTTTTCTTAAATTGCAAACCACTTAGTTGTTATTAAACATTCCAGAATATTTCATGTTTATTTATTTTCCAATTCTATTGATATACTTGTAGGGGTCAGATGCAATTCAGTGTATCGTACTACGTTTGTGGGATATATTAAAAGTTTTCTTTGTACATGGACAAGCTTTCCAAAAGATGGATAATCTTAGGATGCTTGTAATCGAAGGATTCAACGAGTTTCCTGCATTATCTCATGTAATTCTACCAGACACTTTAAAGATTCTTATTTGGGATGGTTTCCCTCAAAGATCTTTACCACCGAACTTTTTCCCAGAAAATCTAGTGAGACTCGAAATATCAAGCAGCTATCTTGAACAACTTTGGGAAGGAGATCAGGTTTTTAAAGTTATCTATATTCCTTTATGTTCTAAACTTACAAGTATTTTTCTGTACTATATATATATCTACATGTTTTCATTCGCAATATTTGTGCCTACTTCACATTATTTGTTTTTATACTTCTTTTATTAGACCCACTCAATTATGCATATATCATTACAATCATATTTAGCATGCTTCTAAAGATAATTATAAATCAAATATGTAAAAGATGCATTTGTTTGATGCATTTCATTTTATGGTCCATGATTGTATTCTCTACCCATATTATGTGTGAGGTATCAGGATAGAGTGTTTGTTTTTTTACTTTATAAGACATATTTGTGTGTGGATACCTAGTCTATTCTAATGTATAAAAGATATCAAAATGTTATTTTTTTCTTTTGTATTATTCCAAACGCCCCTATTTATATAATCATTCTTGCTTATAACTACTATGTACATTACTAAAAAGAATTATCTTATTATACATTAAATTCTCAAAATTATTTATATATAAATGTACATCGATAGTATATATTCTGGAAAATTCATTCCCAATTTCTTATTCAAAATAGTTCTTTCCACCTATGATAACTTCATAGCCAAACCTTCTTCAACCTCTTACTACTTCATACTTTAATTTTTGTGATTATATCTCCATTGATGCATAAAATATCTTTTTTCTATAATAATTGTATTTAATATTTCGGTCATAATACAACCTTAGATATCGCTCACCAGATACTCATAAAGGGGTCAAAACGTACCTATAAAAGGCCAAAATGCACATAAGGTCACACTCATAATGGTCATCAATGAAATCACATTCAATATATAACATCATGTATATCAAGTGTATACATATTCATGCATCTTATAGTCATCATCATCAACCTCATAGAATGACCTTGTTTCCTACTCCAAAAGGAAAATTTCTTTACTTCAATGATCACATAACTTGAGTGACAATATTGCAAAGAAGAGAGAATTAATATGACTCTCTTTTGCTTGATAAACCTTTTGTGACTTGAATAAATATTTCTAAAGAAGAGAAACTTCGACCTCTTCCTCGCTCGAACGGTTTAGCAATGCTATTTGTTATAATATCTAATGAGTTCTTGAAGCATAAAGCACATTGCTTCATTGGTTAAAATTTAAGATAAGTTGAAAGTCTTATATTGTGTAAAAATGAACAAGATGAAGAACATATTAGAACTCTCAAACATGTTACTTCAAAATTTTGAATTAAAAATATGTTTTAATATCTTATATGAGTTTGTTTATTGTTCATTATGCCAATTATGTTTAAGTGGAAATATAAATTTAAATATTTATTAATTTTATTTATTAATATGTTGACAAATAATAAAAATAACATTCATATTATATAATTAATTGAAAATTTAAACAAGTAAAATATATACATTTATTAAAGACTTAAACTTAATTAATCTTATTTTTTTATTATCATATAACTTCAATATAACCTATAATAATTATGTATTTAATAGATCACGGAAAGATGGATTTATACATTGCCTGCATCCCTTAACATTAACATACAACTTACCTAAGGTTCAATTTTAACTCATTTTTCAGTTTATTCTTATTCTCATTTATAATTTTACAATATATTTATATTAGAAAAAAGAAGAGAGCGAGAGAAGATAAATAAAAGTAAATAGTTGATACATGCATGATATAAAGTATTTCCGCATTGTCATCTATTATAAATTATCAGGTTGAAATTATTAGGATGCAATTTTAGATAGGAAAGAAAACATGTTAAATTTTGTGAAGTTTTATAATAACTATCAAACTTATAGCCACTATAATTTTGTTTGTTCAACGTAAACTCAACAGATAATGTAAGTAGGAGTTTATTGAAGAAAAATAGATAAGCTTCATTTTAGTTTTTTTTATTACCTGATTCATTTACTTTTTGTGGCAGAGTTTACCCAAGTTGAAAAGGCTCAACCTGAGTTTTTCTCAGAAACTTACTAGAATACCAGACCTTTCTTTGTCACCAAATATTGAAGAAATAATTCTCAATGATTGTCCAGAGTTGATTAAAGTTCACTCTTCCATATTACTCACCAAGCTCATTTTTTTACGTTTAGATAACTGTGATAATCTCAAAAGTGTAACTGTTCCCAGCAATATTCTGTCCAGATCACCAGGATGCATTCTTCTTTACTCCTGTTGCAAGCTTGAAATGTTTTCAACCACTCAAACCCAAATATGTTATTCTCCACCATCATCATCATTAATCGGTCGTCAAAATTTCTCTGGGGTGCCCTTAAATACTGGTAGCTTGAAAAGGCTCATTCCCATAAGACCCTATTCCAGTGAAATTTTCTCCATTACTTTTGACCGATATTGGGGAACAGACGACGAAAAAGAAGTGACTAATAATAATGTATACGCAGATGATGAAGTGCTGCTACAACTCACTAGATATATGTCCTTAAACACTCCAAGTCCCAAAAACCTCTGTTTCATAAATCTCTCGAAATGTTCTTCCCTTACAATATTTCTATTTGACCTTTCTGAGATGAAATTCCTAAAGAAACTTTGTCTTAGTGGTTGCTCAAAATTGGAAAACTTCCCCGAGATTGAGGACACGATGGAAAATTTAGCGGTTCTAATCTTAGACCACACAGCCATACAGGCACTACCTTCATCCTTGTGGCGTTTGGTAGGGCTTCAACAACTGAGTTTGCGCAGTTGCATGAATCTTGAGATTATTCCATCTTCCATTGGAAGCCTCACCAGACTATGCAAGTTAGACCTTACCAAATGTGAATCACTTCAAACTTTTCCAAGCACCATTTTCAAATTGAAGTTGAGGAAACTTGATTTGTGTGGTTGCTTAAGGCTGAGGACCTTCCCAGAGATCATGGAGCCGACACAAACTTTTGCTCACATAAACTTAACAGAAACGGCTATCAAAGAACTGCCTTCCTCGTTTGGCAATTTGGTTAAGCTTCGATCCCTGCAGCTCAACAATTCCTCTGATCTCGAGTCACTTCCAAACTCCATTGTTAATCTAAAGCATCTCTGTAAACTTGATTGTTCCGGGTGTGCCAAATTAACAGAAATCCCAACTCACATTGGTTGCTTGTCTTCATTAATGGAAATGTCACTGAGTGAGAGCGGAATAGTGAACCTTCCTGAAAGCATTGCTCATCTTTCAAGCTTGAAATCGCTTGATTTAAGTTACTGCAAAAAGCTTGAATGCATCCCACAGATTCCACCATGTCTAAAACAACTCGTGGCATTGGATTGCCCATCCATTAAAAGAGTGATGCTAAATTCTCTTGTTCGAAACCTCTCAGAGTCGAAGGAGGGTGTCTTCAAATTTCATTTCACCAATGCCCAACAACTGGATTCAGGTGCTCGTGCTAACATTGAGGAGGATGCAAGGCTCAGAATGACCGACGATGCATATAGGTCTGTGTTCTTCTGTTTTCCAGGGACTGCAGTTCCTCATTGGTTCCCCTTTCGCAGTGAAGGAAGTTCAGTGAGTATAAATGAAGATTTAAGTTTCTGCAGCGATGACAGGCTCATTGGTTTCGCTTTGTGTGTGGTTTTTGAATTGTTAGATACCAATCAAATTATTGGTAGACGTGATTCTTTTCGTTACTGCCTAAAATTTGAATGTGATGATGATGGTACACAGATTATTCTAAAAGAGGATCTGTTACATAACTATTTCGAATGGAATGGTAAAGAAAGAGTTGTCAATCAAGATCACACATTTATGTGGAAATTTAACTTGGAGAGCCTAAGGAGGAGCGGCATGAACCTTAGGCTCTCTGATGCTCGAAGCTTCACTTTTGAGATCACTCCATATTATGTCTACTTTGTGGGGTCAAATTTCTACTCCGTTGCGAACGAGTTAAAATCAGTTGTGACAATAAAAGAATGCGGCTTATGCCCTCTTTATAGAAGCGGAAGCAATGTTGGAGAGTCTTCAAGGGAAACAACGGAACATAGGAAGAGGAAGGCCGAAAGCCACTTAGTAGGCTAGTCTCTTGCTCTTCTGCTAACTGGTCTTCCGTTGGTGAGTGTGGCTTATAACCAATACTTGTTAATTACAAGTTTCAAAACGTTAAACTTTTATTATGAATTTCTCATTTTTAATTTATTTTGTTTTATTTACATTTTCAATGGCATTTTACAGGTGGGTTCGTTCAGACATGATTTGTAAGTTATTGTTAGATAGAGTTTGATGTTGACGTAAGTTGGGTTGCTCCGTTGTCCCAAAGTTACATTTTCTTGAAACTCTTCGTTCGTTAACTTCTTTAGCATATTTGGCTTTCATTTGCAGCGAAGGTATTATGAAATCGTAATTATTATCTTATGGATTTCTTAGTTGCATTCTCTTTTTTCGTAGGGGATCTCTTAATTTTGAGAGGCTTTGTAAGTTTCTGATTCCTGATTCCATAAGCATAAAAATAAATTTATCAAACACGTATTAATATCTAATATTTTAAAACATTTTATCTATATATCCATAAAATATCTGATTTACAAAATGATAATATTTTTATGATTACAATAATTTATAATTTTTTATATTAATAATTTTAATATATTTAATTTAAATTTAAATTTATATAATAATAATCATATATATTTAATATATTTTTAAGAATTATATATTTTTCGATATGTATATATATTATGGTATACTATTATTTTCCAAATAAAAATACCGATGTATCGGAGGTGTCCTATCTGATACACATATTTTATCTTTGTCATAGCATAAAACCATTCATGCATATATAGTATAGACGATTTTCAGATTTTTTAAATTAAAAACTCAATATCAATTACATGTCTTTATTGTCAAAATAAATTATATAAAGATGGTAAATAAATTATTAATACGGGGGATTTTTTAATTTTATTTGTTGAAATTCTATTATACATCAACTAAAAAATGCTAATTTTTTATTATTTAAGATGCAATTTGTGGTTGTTAAAAATTGTTACAAATATTATTTTCAGTTATTAAAATAATTGTCAAAACTACCTACGCCAAAACTTGTTTATTATTACAATAACTTTTACTAAATTTTTATTTAATAATTTAATCTATATTTAATTAAATAATATATTTTAATGTTGTATTATTATTTCGAGTTGTTAAACTGCTACAATTATGTGAAAAACTGGTTGTCAAAATATTCCTTTGCATATATCATTACAATCATATTTAGCATGTTTCTAAAGATAATTATAAATCAAATAGGTAGAAGATGCATTTGTTTGATGCTTTTCGTTCTATGCTTCATGATTGTATTGTTTATCCATATTATATGTGAGGCGCTGGATAGAGTGTTTTCTTTTTTACTTTATAAGAGATATTTGTGTGTCGGTAATCTATTCTAATGTATAAAATATATCGAAATGTTATTTTTTTCTTTTGTATTATTCGAAACGCCCCTATTTAATATAATCATTCTTGCTTATAACTACTGTATATTACTAAAAAGAATTATCTTATTGTAACTTTAAATTCTCAAAATTATTTAAATATAAATGTACATCACCTATCATAAGTATATATTTTGGAAAATTCATTCCCAATTTCTTATGTCAAAATAGTTCTTTCCTCCTATTTTAACTTCATAGTCAAACCTTCTTCAAACTCTTACCACTTCATACATTAATTTTTGTGATTATATCATTATTGATGTATAAAATATATTTTTTCTATAATAAGTTTTGTATTTAATATTTCAGTCATAATATACAATATCCCTCACCACATGCTTATAAAATGGTCAAAACATACCTATAAAAGGCCAAAACACACCCATAAAAGGGTAAAATGCACATAAGATCACACTCACATTGGTAATCAATGAAACCACATACAATATATTAGTTAGGTATACATATTCATGCATTTTATAGTCATCATCATTAGTCTCGTAGAATGAACTTGTTTCCTAATCCAAAAGGAAGATTTCTTTACTTTAATGATCACATAGTTTGAGTGACAACAATTGCAAAAAATAAATTAATTAATACAAACTCTCTCGAACCTTTTATGACTTGAATAAATATTTCTATTTCTAAAGGAGAGAGACTTCAACCTCTTCCTCCCTCGAACGGTTTGGTAACGCTACTTGTTGTAATATTTAATAAATTCTTGAAGCATAAAGAACATTACTTCATTGATTAAAAGTTTAAAATCTTACATTGTTAGAAATAAATAAGATAGGAAACATATAAGAACTAAAATCTATTACCTCAAAATTTTGGATTAAAAAATTTGTTTTAATATCTTATATAAGTTTATTTATTGTTCATTTATGCCAATTATACTTGAATTTAAGTGGTATTATAAATTTAAATATTTTAGTGAAGTTTTTATTAATTTTAATTATTAATATTTTGACAAATAAGCAAAAAAACATTCATATCAAATAAATAATTGAAAAATTAAACAAGTGAAATATATAAATTTAATATCTTAATTAGAAAATATAAAAAATTTGAATACTCACTTAATTAAATAAATTTAAATTTATTAAAGACTTAAACTTAATTAATCTAACTTTTTTTTATTATCATATAACTTCAATATAACCTATAATAAATTATGTAT